AGGGCAGGTTGAGACCATCTAGGAGAGAGGTGGGCCTGGCCCTGGTCGGTGTTCGCGGATACTTAACACACTTAACGAGATCTTGGTATTTGATCTGAGTTGGGTCGTTGACCTTATACGCACTAACCGCCACATGGGACAAGATATGGGCAACCGGCGTCGTGGTATCAGCCAAAGCCTTCGTGACGTCAGCAACTGAGCGGCGCGCGCCGGTTTGGAACATAAGCCTGCTCTTGTATTAAGGGGGCTAGTTCTGCTTCCGGCCGCCCACGCAACATGCAGGTGTGCTAAGGGCGATGGGCCCAGACCCCTGTGTTCTTAGGTTTAGACCGGCATGCTGACCTCTCTATTGTGCCTAGGTGGGGCTGCGACGTGTTGATCTCCGCGGCCGGGCATGACCCAGAAAAGTGTGTCCGGCCAAATGGGATCAAGCGTGTCGGGTAATGTGGTGCACCCCTGCAGAGAATTTAATCTATTCGAATAGCCGTGATCTTCGGTAACAGGACGACTTGGAGTTGTACCTTGACCTTATGACAACTAGAACCGGATACTTAATAAAACACACCCTTCCAAGTGCCAGATACAACCCGGTGATCGCTCTCTAACAGGGCGACGAGGAGGGGATCGCCGGGTAGGATTATGTTATGCGATGCTACTAGGAGGACTTCAGTCTACTCTCTTCTATATGCTGCAAGACGGAGGCTGCCAGAAGCGTAGTCTTCGACAGGATTAGTTATCCCCCTCTTATTCTGGCATTCTGCAGTTCAGTCCACTGATATGGCCGTTTACACATATACCCATGCATATGTAGTGTAGCTCCTTGCTTGCGAGTACTTTGGATGAGTACTCACGGTTGCCTTGTTCCCCCTTTTCCCCCTTTCTTTACCCGATTGCTACGACCAGACGATGGAGCCCAGGAGCCAGACGCCACCTTCGACAATGACTCCTACTACACCGGAGGTGCCTACTACTACGTGCAGCCCGCTGATGACGACCAGGAGTAGTTAGGAGGATCCCAGGCAGGAGGCCTGCGCCTCTTTCGATCTGTATCCCAGTTTGTGCTAGCCTTCTTAAGGCAAACTTGTTTAACTTATGTCTGTACCTAGATATTCTTGCCTCCGCTGACTCGTCTATGATCGAGCACTTGTATTCGAGCCCTCGAGGCCCCTGGCTTGTATTATGATGCTTGTATGACTTATTTATGTTTTAGAGTTGTGTTGTGATATCTTCCCGTGAGTCCCTGATCTTGATCGTACACGTTTGCGTGCATGATTAGTGTATGATTTAATCGGGGGCGTCACAACACGCTCGGCCGTCGCCCGGGCTCGGTGCTCGCGGCAGGTGGTGCACCAAGTCTCTACCATGCCGCAAAATGCCGGATTGGTGTTCTTCAAGTGCAAAAATAATTGCACTTGTTATGGAAGATATTAATCCAACTAGTGGAAGCGGTTATGGAAGTTGAATATCTTTTAAACTGTCTAATTGTGGTTCTTGTTTTCTTTGATTTTGCTCTCGTAGCGAAGAATTGGTGAAGTACGTCCTCCAATATATCAATATGTCATTGAATGAAATAAAGAAGCAAAGAAATGTGTTTCGGTGGCCGAAAATGAAATGCAGATGAATTACTTTACTCCGTTATATATGGGGGATCGGCTAGGTCCGGCAAAAACTTGGTCAAGTAAATTTACTCCACTAAAGGTCTACTCCATCGGATACTCCACTATTTATTGGGGATAGGTTCGAAATGCCTTCAGAAATTTGCACCCATCAACTGGCAGAGGCGGTGACTCAGTCACACAAAATTGACACTTTCTTATGTGCCAATTACATTTGATGATCCAACATAATCATCAAATGTTTTGTGCACAATAAATGCATCGCTAAGTTATTTCATCACCATCTTCAACTTGAAGGTAACATGGATCTTGCCAAATCTCTGTTGTTTTCTTAACTAGAGAAACAATTAATGCATGTTGCTTCCGCCCTTCCTGGCAGTCGAAAACATGATCTTTGTGGGCTCATACTAGTGCCTAAACATCTCATCATTCTTAACTCAAATAGAGAGATAAGAAAAATGTGTTAATGATGAGATCAGTTTGTATAGAATCATAAAGAATCTAAGGCATCTCGCAAAGGCACACATAAATGCAGTTGCTGCAACTTGCTTTGTTACAAAGGAACATCTTCTAGTCTATGTGAAGCTCATACAAACTAATACTATCAATTAAATCCAGCACAGTACATACAATAGATATTGAGCAAGCAGGAGGTAACATTACTTGCGGATATGTTTAATTTGGTCGTAAACTTGAACTGGGACCAGTAAGACATTTGGCTTTGCCTCTATCTGTTGATAGGACGTCCAATGGTGCTAATTCATGAATGATCACTAAAGATATTGATATGACAGATAAATCTCTATACAAGACTCTCGCAAAGAGAGGTGTGCGTCATACTCATAGTAAACAATGTACTTTTAGGGCTTGGTTTTCCGTTTTTGGACTTCGATTTTTGGAGCATGAACTACTATAAACTTGGATGTGGTATCTAGTTTTATCAATGATAATGTAACACGAGGACGAGAGGGGTCATCTAAAAACATACATGACTTTTTCACTGATGTCTCCAAAAGAAACCTGAATTTGGAGAATCTCGCTCACATATATATGACCCCACAAGGGGGATTGCATATGGAGCCTATTGTTTTGCCAAGGACGACGACAGAACGACCAATACCTACTTCTCTCAACCCGATGGTCATGACAACGAGAGCTTTATCCCTAAGTTGAAAATGTAGGTTAGAGGCTAGCCTATCTCGTGGAATCATGACCTTTGCTGGTGAGTGCATTTTTCTTGGTGTCTCCCGGCACTCGACGCATGTGTGTAATGACATGAGTGTGCTGCTGGTAAGTGTCTGTATGGCTTTGTCCTCTGTCATTAGTGCCTTGCATGGAATTGGATATGTATACATTGTATGGCAGTGCCCTGGGCAGCAATTTAAAGAGATAGTTAGGCGGTTTGCTAGTATACTAACAAAAGGGAAATGTTAGAATACGGCTGGACGCCCAAGTTTGAGCGGGACGCACCCCATGCGTCCGATCGGGCTAGATCGCACGCACGGGAAGCAGCAGCCAGCATCCTGCCATTCCACCTTGCACCCACGTTCTTGTGGGGGCTGCACTGCCCTTCTTACCCTTATCTCTTTCCCACCCCGTGAAATATCTCTCTCTTTGTTGTAGCA